CTGCTACAATTGGTGCAGCTTTTCCTTTACTATTATTATTTGTAAAAAATGGATGTAGGTGTGTGTCTGTGGATAGGGGTCTGGAGGGGGCAATATTAAAGGGATGATGTGGATGAAGTGTGAGTATATTTGAGGAGTTTCAAATTGTATTTCTTATTCTCATAACAGAATCTGCTAGCATCTTGAAGTCTGCCTTCTTTTCCTTACAGAAGTCTCTTGCCAGGAAAGATTTGTTCTCTTTATTTCTTTTTTCTTCTTGGTGGAGGTGGAGGTAGTGGTGGTAGTATACTCCTCAGTCCATTTCTCAAGGATCTGTGCCTTGGAGTAAGATCCCTTGTGGTCAAGTGTCTTCTGTCTTCATGATCAGAGATATTTCCTGCCTACAACTCCAATGTCCACTTGAAGCCACAACCACAGCATGACCACCATGTTCTGCTTTCTTTGTAGCCACTTCTGTTTTGAACCTGCAGCCCATAGTCCCTCTTTTCCTTACTCTGGAGTTCTTCCACTGTAACCATCAGTGTGGCCTCCTATCTAATTGAGAGTCCCTCCAGGCAAGCTGCATGGAACCCCTGGTCCTCCCTGTGCTACTTACTCTTCACCTAATTATCTGCATAAAATGAAGAATGTAGGCTGCTGCTCAGGAGTGGACTAGCCAGACCTGAAGACACTGTCCCTGAGACATGTATCTTTCATTTCACAGGACCGTGAAGTATATGTTAGGCTTCCAGAGATGTCCATACATTCCCAGTGCAGCCCAAACCACTGATGTTCCATGGGACAAAACACTTCAACATCATCTCATTGTACCTACTTGATCTACAATGGTTGTTTCTGGTCACCTACAAAGTGAAACAAATATCCAAGGGGCACAGAAGCAGGATCCCAGGAGTGCACACAGCTGAACACTAAATAATCTAGAGGGATGTTAGGGTGATACAAAATTCAAACTATCCAGGAGAGAACTCTTTTCTTTCAGAGGATTGATTTATGGCTGGAAAGGACAATATGGAGCTTCCCTTTGCTGTGACTATGTTAATGACTACAGAGAATCTACTCTTATAAGTTAATCACGAACAAGAACTGTTCTATACAATGAGAACTGCAGCCAATTCTCATTGTTGAGCACACACACATCTGAACATCTAGGATCCTGGCTGATGTGATGACTGGGTGTAAAGGTAGCCCTAGAGGCCTGGGCATAAGCCAAGCACTGTGCTAAAGAAGCTGGTGATCCTCCCACAGATCCAACACCAACTCCTTCCCCTCCAGACAACCTGTCTTATTCATTGTCACTCAAACAGAGTCAGCTTTCATGCCATCAACCTCTGCTCATGCCACTTATCCACCTGGAATGTTCTCCACCTACACACCTACCTAGACAAATGCAGACGATCCTCTGGGACTCAGCTCAACTCCTCCTCTCTGTGGGGTTTGAGACAACCTCTCGCATCTCTCCCTCTTCTGAACTCCCAACACAATTAGCTCATTTAATTACTTCACAAATAATCACTTAAGCTCTGTAAAGTTCATCTCTTCTGTTGTTTTCTTGAACTATTCTTTATATCAACAGAAATTTTCACTTTCTCCCTATTTTTGCTGACATGCCACCTCTTTAAAAGGTAAGGAGCATAGCTTATTCAGAGTTCTTTGGGTCCACCTACTCCATCCTCAGGACTACCTCGAATAAGGCACAATCAAACTGCAGCACTCTCTTCAGTGCACACAGGAGTTAAATTAGGTTCACCTTAGAGATTTAAAGATCCAAACAGGACACTTAGAGACTCTCCCACCAATGAATGTGAAAGCCTTTTTTTTTTTAAGTCATTCTAAGTGCCCTCCCCAAATTTATTTATTAAAAAAAAACAAAAAACAAAAAACTCCACAAAGGTTGAAAATGTAGCTCAGTGGTAAAGTGCTTGTGTATTATATATGAGGCCCTGGGTTCAATGCCCCGGAAAGCACTGCCCCCTACAAAAAAAAAAAAAGAAAGAAAGAAAGAAAGAAAGAAAGAAAGAAAAAGAACAACTTTCACAAGAGTTTTAATTATATTACAAAGGACTGGTTCTACAAACTGATGTAACTCAGTTATACACAGCCTTCAATTTCAAATTTGGAAAATTCTGCAAAGTTCTAACTAATGTCATGTATTTGCTAGCGGTGACATATAGAGGTTAGAATGAATGAATCTATATTCAACTATTATACAGTGTCTCATATGCAGTATTATTTAATAAATGTACTTAGTGTCTGATAAACTGAAAAGAATATAAACAGAGTGACTAAATTAAAAAGGAAATTTTCAAAGTAGGCATCTTCCCCCATAGGGAGGGAGGGGTGGAATCTCTTTAATAATTTTAAACAACACCAATCCATGAAATTATTATTTAAGTTACCACTTTATCTGCTTTATGTGCACTTGGGAAAACTTTTTAAATAGTATTGCTAATAAGTATTTGCCAGGTATTAATCTTCGGAGTTTCATATATTAACTAATTTAACAATTAAGACAACCCCAATTGTACAGATAAGAAGATCTAGGCACAGACAGATTTAAATAACTGGTCTGAGAACCACAGCAAAAAAAAAAGTGGTAGAACTAGAATTTTTACCTCAACAGTCTGACTCTTTATCACTATAATAGTGGATACTGGTCATAGCTGATGTAGAGTTATGTCATTTTGATTAATATGGTATTTGAAGCAATTTCTATAAAAAGTTGGGAATCCAAACTTTCGAAAAAAATGTAGCAGCTTAGGGTTGGGGTTATGGCTCAGTGGTAGAGCACTCGCATCGCACTTGCAAGGCCCTGGGTTTGATCCTCAGCAAAACTTAAAAATAAATAAATAAAGTTATTGTGTACAACTACAAAAAATATTTAAAATGTAGCAGTTTATCATAATGTTGTGTAATAAATCTGATTATGATTGACGCTGTGTCTTCTAGGTTTACATTCTCAATCAACTGAGGATTGAAAATATTTGGAGAAAAATTGTGCCTCTGCTGAACACATAAAACTTTTTTTTCCTCATCAGTAGTTCCTAAATAATATAGTACGACAACTAATTCACATAGCATTTATATTGTATTAGGTATGTAAGTAATCTAAAGCTGATTTAAAGTATACCAGAGGACGTGCTTAAGTTACACGCAAGTATGGTAATCCCACAACCGGAAATTTTGTTTCCTCTAATTTTAACTATCTACAGGCAACAAGAAAAATGAATGCAGTACAATAAAATATTTTGAAAGGGAAAAATGGAAACCACATTTGCATAACTTTTATTATAATATATTGTTATAGTAGTCCTATTTCATTAGTTATTGTTTTTAATCTCTTACTGCATCTAATTTATAAATGAAACTTTGTCATAGATATGTAGGTATAGGGAAAACAGTATTTATAGGGTTAAGTACTACTTGAGGTTTCAGGTATGCAGGGTGTCTTGGAACATACTCCCCATAGATATGAAGGGACTACTCTACTACATCATTTTATATAAAACTTGAGCATCCTCAGATTTTAGGATTCACAGGGAGTCCTAGAACCAATTCCTTGATAAGGAACAACTATGTTACTATGCAACGCTATTTAGAAAGATACTGTGAAACTTTGAGACTGTCTACCCTTGGAAAACTTAGGAATCATTGAAAGATATCCTGGAAAACTTGGATCACAGAATATAAGCACTGAAATTCTGGAGGTCCCTCTTATTTTACAAAATTAGTAAACCAAGGCCCACTGAGCAGCTCAAGGTCAATTTGTGGTAGACACGTGTATTACTTAGGTCTGTACTCCTGCTCCATACTCTCCCTCTGGGACTTAATGAAACTGATAAAGAAGAGATGAATTCTTCATGTGGTTTGCAATTTCAAAGAGTAAACCAGCTTTTTAACAGAATTCTGAAATTAGAGTTGACAGGGACAATACAGACAAGTAGGGTTAGTTAAGCATCCAAACTAGATTATGACTTTCATGTTATAAGCTTAAGGTGACGTTCAGCTATAAACTTTACAAAAAATGGGCCAAAACTTCCAGAAAAACACCCCCCCAACCAGCTATTTTGAAACTCCATTTACAGTATTTTTAAAGTCGAATTGCTTTAAACCTCTGCTTACATACTGCTGTATCAAAAATGAAATTATCACATGTAGAAGACATAACAAATTCAACTTGGGAGCCCATTTGGGGGATTCAGTTGTGACTACATTCTCAAGTATGTCAGTAACACAAGGGCTCCATCCATAACTCCTTGAAAAAACAAAAAACAAAAAACAAAAAACAAAAAAAACGGAAACCATGAACTCCTTGTCAAATTCAGACAGTTTATCTTGGCACTGCCAAGTATAGCAGTCTCTTCGATGTCTGGAAACGTGTTTAATTACGTTTAGCGAATAACTAAAAAATAGCCGGCATCCCGGAGCAGACAGCTCAGGGATCACTCCATAGCATCCTGAATGACATGATGGAAACAGTCCAGGAACAAAAAAGAAGACGAAAGAAAAAAAAAAAAAGAAAAGAAAAGAAAAGAAGCAAGTGTGAAACAGGGAGGAGACGCCAGCCTCTTTCCAAAACAACTCTCCAGTCTTCCTACGGCCCTGGGGAGAGCCAGCAGGACTCTCCCTAAAGTTTTTATTTTCTTTTACTTTTGTTTCCATTAGGTCACTCGGTTCCGCCTACACGATTTACCTGGCGTAGGGCAGGATGGTGCGCTGCCCCAAACGCACCTCCAGCTCAGCCTGCCCACCAAGGATGACACCCCTCCTCAGGACAGCGCAACCCACAACACCGGCACGCCCCTTGAGCCCCAAAGCCACACCCATCTGCGTCTTTTCTCGAGGAAACGTGACCCCCCGAATTCAAAGGACCCCCCCCCGACACCGTAATCCCGCCGCGCTCCAGCCCTCGCGCTGAGCGCGCCCCTGACACCCCGAATCTGGCCACACCGCCGGAGCGCCCCCTCTCGGGAAAGCCCAGCGTGCGGCCGCTCCGCCCTCACCTGAGTCTGAGGTTGGCCATGAACTCGGGCATGGACACAGTGTCCATCAGCACGAAGTCCGCCTTGCCGAACTCCAGGTCCTCCTGCTGCGCCATGGTGCCGGTACACGGGCGCAGGTGGGCGCGGCGATCTCAGGTGGTCGCGATCGGGCCCCCGGGGACGGTTCAGGGGCCAGCGGCGAGCTCGGGCGAGGTCTGGGCGGGGCTGCGCGGAGGGGACGCGCGCGCCGCTCGGGGGGTCCGGGCTGGACAGAGGCCGCCCCGCCGCTCCTCTGCGCGCTCTGGGCCGGCAAGGCTCTGGGCGGGCGCACCCGGCGGTTTCCGCTCCTCCCGCGGCGGCTGCCGGGCGCTGTGGGGGCCGGGACACAGAGACGGAGACGGCGGCGGCTGGTCCCGCCTCTGGCCTTGGTCTCTCTGTCCCTGCCCCGCCCGGGCCTCTTAGGCTCCGCCCCTTCTAAGGAGCCCGCCCCCGCCGCGGCCCAGGCCACCGCCTCCTCACCTGGGCGGCGCGCACGCGCGGGGCGAGAGCGCGCGCCGGGCAGGCCCGGCGGTTGGGCGGCAGCGCCCTCTAGAGATGGACGCTGGAATCCTGGGCGGCCCTAAGACCTCAGTGGAATCAGATTTCTAGGATGGCTGCCTTCCGCCCTTGCTTGCTAGATGACAATAGGGTTGAAAAAGTAGGTTGTGAAGCTTTTGGTGAGGATTATTCATTATGATTCTATCGTCCTGCAGCGCAGTCATCACTCCTGTGCTTACATCCTTAAAGTGGTGGTTCAATCACAGATGATAATAGCTCCCATTTTGAGGGCATCAGAAATGCCCAGAGCTGTCCTAAATGCTTGAAAGAACTTAAGTAAGTTGTCACACAGTTTGGAAGTGGAGAAGTTGTAACTTCGTGCAGGTTGTTGACTTATGAACCCCAGCGTTGAGCCTTTTGGTGGAATGTCTCCATTCCCAGTGATCCTGGTTTTCTCTTCCATCCATCTGAGCATACCACCAGTCTTACTTTGTATTAATACATTTTTAATAAAATTGTGCAAAATCTCTCCTGGATTGTTGTAGGCTTCTTTCACACAGGACCATGTCCTATGCTTCTTGATATTCCCCTTGGCACCCACCAAAATTAGCTATTGTACTGTTTTGCCTATGTGAATATGAAATTCATCCTGGTTCCGTGGAATGAAATGAATTGGAGGAGGTCTTCAGGTAAAGATACATTGGGTAAGCTTGGAAAATCTTTTAGAACACAGAATGCATTTTACCAATGAAAAATTATTTAAGGCCATTCTAAGGCATCTGCTTTTCTCCAGTCCTGTGTTTCCATTAGGACCATCTTCTATTGCAAAATCTACGTGGAAATCTAGAGGCCTCCCAGGATCTGGCTGGGCTTCAGCTCTGTGGCTGAATTTGAGATGAGTAAACTAGATGAAGGACCTTACTCAAGGTCTGCTTCAGCTGCCAGCAACCCATACTTGCCAAAAGAGAGGGAGGTTGGTGGCTTGATCACCTTCAAGGGAGCTATTCTGCAGTGGGAACTTTGGCACAGGCAGAGCTATCTGGCTTGCAACCTGACTGCCATTAGCAGCTTCTCCCCTTCAGAAGACACCTGTCTGCGTCTCAGTGTCCTCATTTTTGGAACAAGAGCTCTGAGCTAGACCCTTTCAAGGTAGGACTGTCCTGTGTTTGAGTCATTATGTGGGTTGGTGGGTAGTCAAGCAAGCAATTACATAGAGTATGCTTGCATTTCTAAGTGTTCTTATTGGTATGCCCTGAAATAAATAGGACTACATTTAAAAAAGAAAAATAAAAAAAAAATAGTTCTCAATATTGGTGTACTTTGGAGCAAGCTGGAAACACCGCCCCCCCCCCAAAAAAAAAAAAAAAACCAAACACACTGGTAAGTGAATGTATGTGTGCTACCTGAGCCCTAGAATTGTTGAAAAGTAGGGTGAAATCCCAGCTACCAGGAAAAGAAACATCAGGGCCTGCAGATGATGAGAGGACTGCAGAAATTGTTTGGTGTTAGGAGCTGTAGTAGGATAGGATGTGATTTTCAAATGACTAAAGTAAGAGATTTCTGTTAGAATCATTATCTCATACATATATATCCAAAATATAAAACATATGCACAACATATTCAAAGTGTTGTTGTATTAAGTTATGTTATAAGTAGAAATTAGTATCAAGTCAAGCATTGAGACTAAGAAGTCTTTTTTATGAACTCAAAATATGTCCAATGAAGCTCACCATTAACTTAAATCACTGTCAGGATTCCAATTTACTTGTATATGTTGTTTTGGTTGTACAATATCAAGGAGATTCTGATTCACTTGGCTTAGCAATAATTTTTACTTGTATAATTTTACATTCAGTCTTTTTAAGGCCAGTGCACAGCTATAACTATATTAAACAATGACACACACATACAGTTCAAATATATGCAGAGGTGGCAGAAGACACAGACATTGAGGCTGCATTCAAACAAGGTAAACTTGAGCAGTTTAGCTCATTTATCTCCTTTGTGATAAAATTTGAATAGAAGTATATTTGGATGTGTATACTTTTGTTACCATTTAAAATATACTAAATGGTACAGAATAGAGGACACAGAAACCAATCCACAAAACTACAACTATCTTATATTTGATAAAGGGGCTAAAAGCATGCAATGGAGGAAGGATAGCATCTTCAACAAACGGTGCTGGGAAAACTGGAAATCCATATGCAACAAAATGAAACTGAATCCCTTTCTCTCGCCATGCACAAAAGTTAATTCAAAATGGATCAAGGAGCTTGATATCAAATCAGAGACACGCCGTCTGATAGAAGAAAAAGTTGGCTACGATCTACATACTGTGGGGTCGGGCTCCAAATTCCTCAATAGGACACCCATAGCACAAAAGTTAATAACTAGAATCAACAAATGGGACTTACTCAAACTAAAAAGTTTTTTCTCAGCAAAAGAAACAATAAGAGAGGTAAATAGAGAGCCTACATCCTGGGAACAAATCTTTACTCCTCACACTTCAGATAGAGCCCTAATATCCAGAGTATACAAAGAACCCAAAAAATTAGACAATAAAATAACAAACAACCCAATCAACAAATGGGCCAAGGACCTGAACAGACACTTCTCAGAGGAGGACATACAATCAATCAACAAGTACATGAAAAAATGCTCACCATCTCTAGCAGTCAGAGAAATGCAAATCAAAACCACCCTAAGATACCATCTCACTCCAGTAAGATTGGCAGCCATTATGAAGTCAAACAACAACAAGTGCTGGCGAGGATGTGGGGAAAAGGGTACACTTGTACATTGCTGGTGGGACTGCAAATTGGTGCAGCCAATTTGGAAAGCAGTATGGAGATTTCTTGGAAAGCTGGGAATGGAGCCACCATTTGACCCAGCTATTCCCCTTCTCGGTCTATTCCCTAAAGACCTAAAAAGAGCATGCTACAGGGACACTGCTACATCGATGTTCATAGCAGCACAATTCACAATAGCAAGACTGTGGAACCAACCTAGATGCCCTTCAGTAGACGAATGGATAAAAAAAATGTGGCATTTATACACAATGGAGTATTACTCTGCATTAAAAAATGACAAAATCATAGAATTTGCAGGGAAATGGATGGCATTAGAGCAGATTATGCTAAGTGAAGCTAGCCAATCCCTAAAAAATAAATGCCAAATGTCTTCTTTGATATAAGGAGAGTAACTAAGAACAGAGTAGGGTCGAAGAGCATGAGAAGAAGATTAACATTAAACAGGGATGAGAGGTGGGAGGGAAAGGGAGAGAGAAGGGAAATTGCATGGAAATGGAAGGAGACCCTCAGGGTTATACAAAAGTACATACCAGAGGAAGTGAGGGGAAAGGGAAAAATAATACAAGGGGGACAAATGAATGACAGTAGAGGGGGCAGAGAGAGAAGAGGGGAGGGGAGGGGAGGGGGGATAGTAGAGGATAGGAAAGGCAGCAGAACACAACAGACACTAGTATGGCAATATGTAAATCAATGGATGTGTAACTGATGTGATTCTGCAATCTGTATATGGGGTAAAAGTGGGAGCTCATAACCCACTTGAATCAAAGGGTGAAATATGATATATCAAGAACTGTGTAATGTTTTGAATAACCAACAATAAAAAATTTAAAAAAAAAATAAAATATACTAAAAAGCCAAATAAACGTTTATATCAGCAATAGTGAGACACAGTGACAATATGAACTTCCTAGTGTGATCTCCTGAAAAGTATCCTTCCCAGCTACAAATACATAAACTGAATCTAATCATGACGAAACATCAAACAAACCCATGGTAAGGGGCATCCTACAAAACAAGAGATCTGTGTTCTTCAAATAATTCAGTGGCATGAAAGACAAAGAGGCTGAGGAGTTATTCCAGATTAAAGATGACCAAAGAGGGCTGGGGTTGTAGTGCAGTAGCAGAGCACTTGCCTTGCACATGTGAGGCACTGGGTTCGATCCTCAGCACCACATGATCATTATTATCCAAAGTACGGGTATGAAGACACGAATTGGTGTGAATATACGTGTATACAACTAGAGATATGAAAAATCGTGCTCTATATGTGTAATAAGAATTGTAATGCATTCTGCTGTCATATATCAATAAAAATAAATTAAAAAATTAAAAAATAAACAAATAAAATAAAGGCATGCTGTTCATCTACAACTACCAAAAAATAAAAATTAATACAGAATACAATAGACACTAGTAAGGCTGTATGTATAAATATGGCTGTAAAACCAATGTGATACTGCAATCTGTACACATGGAAAAATAAAAATTCATACCTCATTGGAATCAAATGTATGATATGTCAAGATCATTGTAATATTTTGAGCAACTAATAAAAAAAATGACCAAAGAGACATTATGACTAAAGGCAGTATGTGATCCTGGTCTAGCCAACGTAAAGAACCTCCAAAGTACACTAAGTTTGAGATTTATTTCTTTTTGCAATTTCATTCTTCTTGTGTTAAAGCACAGAAAAATGTCAAGGATGTTGTTGGGACATTTGGTGAAATAGATGGTAGAGTCATGCCAATGTTAATTTTCTTGAATTTGATCATTGTGCTGGGTTTCTGAAAGAGACTATCCTTGTTCTTAACAGACACTTAATGAAGTTTTTAGGAGTAAAACGTGATAAACAGGCGAATATAACAACAACGATAATAACAGTAAGAGGAGGAGGAATAAGGAAGATGTGTGGATATATATAGGTTGATAGATAATCAATGCATAAAGCAAATGCTAACAATTGGTAAAGTCGTTAAATATATGAGCGTTTTGGTGTGTGTGTGTGGGGGGTGCTGAGCGCTATCTTAAAAACATTTC